TTGAGGACTTCAACTCCCAGGATTGAAGACTTGAGGACTTCAACTCCAAGAATTTCCCAGCCAGTGCATCTTCACTTAACAACCATGGCAAGAAAAGTCATAAAAGGGGGACAAAACTCACTGAACAAATATCTCACGTAGGAACATCAATCCTGGGTTTGATTGTGGCCGTTAAGCTGAGGACTACCTCTACAACCAGCACCTGTGAGCTATAGAAACTCCCACCCTGTGGGTCGCTTGCACGGCAAGCTTTCCTTCACCTTGAGGGGGTCCGAGGGTCAGCAGAATCACCATGGCGTGGACCACCAGGATGTGCATCGTGGCGGTTTCTCCTCCACTCCAGCGAAGGAAGACTTGATCTTGGGACTCCGACTAGAACAGAGATGGACAGCAACTTTAAGGAGGGTGGACTCCAACTCCCAGAATTCTCCATTCAACTAAGATGTATGGACTTCAACTCCCAGAGTTCCTGAAGTAGCGGGAATGCTGAGAGTTGAAGTCCACCCTTCTTAAAGTTGCAGAGGTAGAGAAACCCTGCCCTAGAAGGTGAAAGGAAAAATAGGACCCAAGGTGGGGAGAGGAGAGAGGGACTCTCACCCAGTTGTAAACCTCGTCGCCTTCTTTGGTCTGGCGCATGCGCTTGATGTAGCGCGAGAAGATGGAGAGCAGAGCCACCAACACGGAGTCGGACTCCGAGCAGTAGGAGAGCTTTGAGAAGAGGTGAGACATGATGGTGGAACGCTCCACAATCAGCCGGGCCACGTCCTGCAGAGAAGAAGAGGAAGAAACATAAAAGCAGCTGAGCAACGAAGGCCTCGAACTCTCGAGGTCAACCAAAGACCAGCGGAATGCCGGTTTTCCCTCCGGCGGGTCTGAGCCCAACGTCGCCTCTCCGTCCTTCTCGTGAGGCATGGACAGCCCACCCATCCTGGATCTTTTCTGGGGGAGACCTCCTGCTCTCTACCGCTGGTGGCACCGATTTAGAAAGGGAGTGAAGGTATAAATTGAAAAGAGAAAGAGAAGGGCCAGATGAAGAGTTTGATCTAGCAGTTAAGGCACCAGACTGGAAACCAGGAGACGGTGAGTTCTAGTCCCGACTTGGGCATGAAAGCTGGCTGGGTGACTTTGGGTCAATAACCAGGAGAAGGTGAATTCTAGTCCCGTCTTACACATAAAAGCCAGCTAGGTGACTTTGGGTTAATAACCAGGAGATGGCGAGTTTTAGTCCTGCCTTAGTCATGAAAACCAGCGAGGTGACTTTGGGCCAATCATGAGGAGAAGGTGAATTCTAGTCCCGCCTTAGGAATGAAAACTGACTGGATGACTTTGGGCCAATTATGAGGAGACTGTGAGTTCTAGTCCTGTCTTAAGGCATGAAAACCAGCTGGCTGATTTGGGGCAAATCCCTCTCTCTCAGCCCAACCCACCTCACAGGGTTGTTGCTGTGGGGAAAACAGGAGGAGGAAGGAGTATTAAGTGTGTCTGCCACCTTGAGTTATTGATTAAAATGAATAAAGGGGGGGGGATTTTAAGAATCAACCAATTTTGGAGCCCCAAGAGGAATGCCTTGCGACCTGCAGGGAGGCAGACTTTGCTTTGGTTGCTAAACGAGGAGGCGCCTCACGGACCTTCGCCTTCTCCTCCCGCGCCCAACCGGTTGATTTCTCTCACCAAAGCCAAGTTGTTATGCTGGCCTTGCTCCTCCACGGGGGCATGCTGGGAAAGATACACCAAGTAAGCACTGATGGTCTGGGGGTCTGTCTCCATGTGGATGGCCTGGAACGGGAAGCAAAGGGAACTCAACGTTACACCGCCTGGGTCCTGGGTCGGGAGAGCCTTCCAAGGGTCGCGCCACGCCGTTCACCTGCTGCAGAGCCACCGCCGTGGTGGTCCGGACGCTGTCGAACAAGGGCAGCTTGGGCAGGTCTCGCAGAAGCCACTGGTAGCTTTGAAGCAGCTCGAAGTCCCAGGGGTCTTCCTCCATCGGGTGCTCCTTCTCCTCCTTCTCGTGGAGGGCCCCTTCAGAAAGAACCAAGGACAGGCCCTGCAGGGGGGAGGGAGGAGGACACGGGGGGAGGGTCTCGCATCCAGCCTGAGCCAGGGGTTCAAAAAAGCCCGCTTCTGACCGATTGGGTGGCCGGCAGCCCCACGGGGAATTCTTTTCCCCTCTTACAAAAAGTTATTGCATTTCAAATATGTACGTATAAAAGACAAGCGAGCGGAGAGGGGGGAAAAAGGGAGTTGAAAAGAAAGGAAAAAGGCTAAGGGGAAATGGGCAACTGGAAACGACAACAAAATAAATGACAGGAAAAAACCATCAGACTTTTTTCGCTACAGATAAAAGTCTAAAGACCAGAATAAGTAGCAGTGTTTTGCTTATTCTGGGGGGGAAGGAGGAGGAGGAAGAGAAGGAGAAGGAGGAGGAGGAGGAGGAGGAGGAGGAGGAGAAAAGAAGAAGAGGAAGAGGAGAAGCGGGGGGAGAGAGGGAGGGAGGGAGAGAGACTGACTGACTGACTGACTGACTTCTGGCACAGATGCCCTCTCTCAAATCTAGCACTCTGGGGCTTAAGAGACGAATATGGATGTTTTCAAGCTTCAGCACTCAAAGAGTTGCAAGCAGGGAGCAGAAACTCCAGGCCGGAAGCCCCCAAAACTCATCACACACACACACACACACACCCCTGAACAAAACCTTGATGGCCCTCTGGGGAAAGGACTGTAGAAGGTGCACCGAAAACGAGGCGGCACAGCCATATTTTATCCCTGTTCCACCTAGCAAGACTTGGAATGGCCTCCTTCCCTGCTCTAAGCTGGGCACGGACTGGTGGGGTCTGGGGCTCCTTACCTTCATGGCCAGCACCCGCGAGGCCACCTGGGATGAGCTGAGGCGCCTCAGGAAGTAGTCCAGCACCTCGCACGTGGTCTGCTCGTCGGCGGTGGGTCCGAGGAGCATGTCTTGCAGACGGCCGAGCAGCTGCCTCTGCTTCTGCTGCCTCTGCGGAGGAGCGGCACAAGGTCAGGCACTTCCCTGTAAAAGTGCCGCCTGCCATTTCAGGGAGGGCATCCTCGGCGTGGTGGTGCAGTGGTTAGAACGAAGGCTGACTCTGCCCACGGCCAGGAGTTCGATCCTCACCAGGCTCCAGGTTGACTCAGCCTTCCATAACTTCCAAGGTCGTTAAAACAAGGACCCAGATTGTTGGGGGCGAGAGGCTGACTCTGTAAACAGCTTA